TGATTCTGATCGTGAAGCAAAAATTAAAGTTGAATTACTTAATTTGAGTTCAATTGAAATTGGTTGTAAAAAAAGATGTGACGTTCTTAATAAAATGATTAAAGGAGAAAAAGAATTAAACCCAGTTGATGATGTATCTATATTCATTGAATATGAATTACTTGATGTAGAATTTCTTTCTATTATGAAATTTTGTAGAGGAGAATCAATCTATGTAGAAAGTTCAAGCGAAAGCTCTGAGACATCAAGTGATTCTATAAATTCAATAAATGATAATGATGATGGGTCTGTTGTTATTGAGAAAAAAGAAAAAATAACTTCATCCTCAGAAGGTTCTGATTCATCTGTAAATTGTAGTGGAGAAAGTGGTTCTATTGTTATTAAGAATAAGAAAGAAGGTTTAACTTCATCATCTGAAAATTCTATTGCCCAAATTTAAAATAAAACTCAGTTAGAATTGTACGAAGTGTGTAACGCCTTAATAACAATTTTGATTAAATTATTTTAATTAATAAGATTTGTATGAAGTTTCTGTTAATTAACCATTAACATTGTTTTTTTGTCAATTAATTTTTATTATCTCAATTTGATAAATTATAAAATAGAAAATGTAAACCAAATAGACTTTTTTATTTAGATAAAATTATGAAATCAATTTAGATTAACATCAAAACGATAGCTGAAATAAAAAGAATAGTGAACAAAGAAGAACCACAAACAACTCTTGCTTTTTGTCCTTCACCAAATAAATATTGGTCGTCATCATAATTGTAAACATTTTCGTCTTGACATGTCATTTTTTGAGTAAGGTAACTATCATCACAATGGTCATCAGAATATCGTTTAAGAGTAATTGTAGTTCCATCATTTTCTTGACTAAATGAAACTTCGTTAGATATTTTAGCACAAGTTGGTTTAATATATAATGGAATACCTTTACCACTTGGAATAGTAATTTGACTAAAATCGATATCAACTTCTTTAATTTCCCAATCAACTGGTGCAACAGCAGCTCCATTTACAGATGTACAATACTCATCTACATAGTATTGCACTTTAGGTTCAGTATTAGAAAATTTAACATAATAACTATTTCCATTTGATAAAAAACGGTAATAAGTAAGACAACTATTTAATGGAGCACCATAAAACATATTTCCATCACTGGTATAATTTGTAACAGCAAGATATTCCTTCTTTTCTGCAAGAGCAATGGATATGAGTAAGAATAAAGCAAGCATTAACTGAACTTAATTTGATAAGAGATGATAGAATCTGGTGGAATAATTTCGTTTTGGTGGAAGTTTTTTTTAGGTTTTCTTAATTTTTTTTAAATTTTTAAGGGTTTCAGAATTTTTTAATCAAATTTGAAGATTTTTTTAAAAAAATATTCTTTTTATATCTAAATATACATTATTCTTTTCAATAATTCTTTTCTTAGTTCTATTCTCTCTGACATGGATCCTGTTGAATCATTAATGGTTGAAATACACTCTTTACAAGAAGAAATTGGGTTTTTACACCAAAAAATAGAGACCCTTCAATTAGACAATTATGACTCACGACTAACATTAATGGAAATTGAATTATCAAAAAAAACTATTGCCTATGAAGAATTAGAAGAAAAATATGTCCAGTCACTAGGAAAACAAAGCGTTTTATCAAAAGAAAAATCATTATTAGAAACAAAAGAAAAATACATGTTAGTTGAGTATCAAGGTAAGTTACAAGAACTTCAGGAATGGTGTGAAAATCTTAAACAAGAAAATAAAGCTTTGAAAAGTGGAAAAAAATTTGATAAAAAACAAAAAATAACAAAAGACGTTATTCAACCCCCTCAAACTATTAAAAAAGATGAGTCTGTTATTCAAAACAATAATATCCAAACAAACCCTTTCTTAGATCCTTCTTCAAATCAAGAAGTAACTAACACAACACCATCACTACCTAGACAAAAAAATAAAGTTGAAACAAACCCTTTCTTAGACCCTTCTCTTACACAACAACCAATAACTACCCATGAAAAAACAATTGAAACTAACCCATTTTTAGACCCTTCTTTAAATCAACAACCAAAAACTCCTCTCCAAGAAAACGAAATACAGACCAATCCTTTCATTGATACCGCTGCACCACAACAAAGCCAAAACACAAACCCTTTCATTGACGTTACTGTAACACAACAACAAAGTCAAAACACAAATCCTTTCATTGACAATTCTTCTCAAAAATCAGATCCTCTTAATAAAACCCAAAAAAAAGAAACTAACCCATTCTTAGATGAGTCATTGATAAATCAAATAACTCAAAAAAATTCTGACCAACCTAAGTCAGTTTCAAAAAGTTCTTCACAAGTTGGTGTTATCATTCATTCTACGAGTACAAATGAAATAAAAGAAAAACTACCAGAAAAAAAACAATTTGTATTAGAAAAACCACAAGTTGTTATTAAACCAGAATTTTCAGAATTTGGAGTTGATGACTCATCATCAGATAATGAAATTATTACAAAGAATATGAGTAATCAAACAAAAGGGGTCATTGAATTAAAAAAGAAAAATGAAGTATTAAAGAAAGAAAATGAAATATTAAAATTACAATTATCAGAGTCTATTGAAAAAAATAGTGAATTAGAATCTGTTATGAAAAGAAGTATTGACGACAAAACAACTATTATTCAATCATTACAAAATAATATTGTTACTTTAGAAAGTCAATTAAAACAATCAACATTTAAACAAAAACAATTAGAAAGTAAATTAGAAGATTATACAAAAGCTTCATCTGAAGAAGTTGAAGAAAATAATAGATATTTATTACTAAATGGAATTTGTGTTGCATTAAAAATGGGAAATCCTGATTATGAAAGAACTCATTTAAGTGTTAGTACTCTTTATGAACAAATAAAAAATAAAAAAATACCATTATGCCAATGGCCTTTATACGTTTCTACATCATTTGATAATGAAATTAATGGAGGAAATGAAGATGATGTAGTTTGAATATATTATTTTATCATATTTAATCATCAATTTATCGGTTAAGTTTAGTGAAACAATAAAAGAGATAGAATATTTATTTCAATTCAATAACTGAAATAGATGACCAACCATTTTGTATGGGTGTAGTTGTTTCGTGATTATAAGGAATAATAGCATTTGGTGAAATAGTTTTTGGAACATCAAAAAGATCAGATATTTTACCATTATAACGAATAGAATGATTTTTCTTAATAAATGTTCCAATTGAGAATATAGCAATTCTATCTTCTTTAATCATCATAGTTTTATTAAATGGTTTAACATAATAAGGATGAGGAATAAATGGATCATTAACTATCGAAAAGACATATTCTGAGCCATCAGAAATAGCTGTACCCATTTGAGTTGGAAAAATACTGTGACAAGTAGCAAATGAAGTTACTTTATTGTTAATAGTTAATTTAAATAATAATAATCCCTTCTTACAAGATCCAAAAACATTTAATAAACCTGTAAAAGAACCACTTGTTGTATCTATTCTATAAATTACATTAGCTGATTTTGCTTGTGTAATTTTTAATATAGTTTCAGTTTCTGAGTTATAATTGACAACAGGCACTGGTTGTGGAATATTTTTTATTTTAGGTGGAATAGTATATTGTGAAGGAATAGAATTATCTCCTTGCTGTTTTCTTAATGCAGGAGGGACATATGCAGCTTCATCAACTTGTTTTTGTTTATTTGGATTTGAATTAATTAAATCAATAACGATACAAGACTTAATTAATGTAAGAGTTTGAGGTGAAAAAGAATTATATTCCTCTTCTGTACATTTGATTTGTTTTAATCCAAGTTCTTGTAAATAAGAAAGAGTTATTTTATTTAAAGAACCAACATTAATACAAGATGGAAGTCTATTATTTTTAATTGATGTTTTACATGAAAGAACATCAACATCAGTAAATGAGAAATAACTCTTTAAGAAATTAAGAACGTCTTTATCAATATTTTCATCACAACATTTTATAATAGCTAATTCTTTAGTTGATATATTTAATATTTTTAAAATAAGGTGTTCTAATTCATTTATTCTTTGGATAAAGTTTGTTTGTGAAGTTTGCATTATTTACTTATTTAAAAGTGAAAAAGAGGGTTTTTTCATTTTCTTTAAAAAAAGTTTATTTTCTTTTTAAAAGGTATTAAAACTATAAAAACATTACAATTTTTCTACTTCTCAGTTCGAACGTAAGATTCGTATAATTTTCCTTTTGGTACCTTTAAAGTAGAATTATCTCCAAGCATTGCCATAAGAATAACATTAATTTCTACTCCAGCTTCAACAATTTCACTTTGGTTATAAATGTTACTATCAAATTCTATTCTAATGAATCTTTCCATTTGTTCAATATCTTTTTGAGTAGCTTTACTTATTATTGTAATGCCATCATGTATTGCAAGATCAGTAAGATAATTATGAAGGTATACTTTCTTAAGATGTTCAACTTTCCTATTAGCTTGTTTAGGAGTCATTCTTTGAGAAAAGTTATTATAGTCTTCTTCTGCACGTTCATTCAAAAATTGTACAACATCCATTTTGTCTTTCCCAAAATCAATTTCAATTAAATCAGGAAAACAAAAGTTTACTGTTGACCTCTTTTTTGGCTTTTGAAATGAAAATGAGAATTTACGATTTAATGCCCAAATTAGAAATGACATTTGAGCTACTTCTTTTGTTTTTTTATCACGACTTTGTTTTGTTTGAATATTTTTTCCGTCAAGACATTTTTGAATACCTTTTCTTGAGTGTGACTCAGAAGAGGACATCCCTTTGTTTTATAAGATTTTATCATTTCTTTTGTAGTTACTATTTTTTTTTGATTTTTTTTTTCTTTACTCATCTGATAATTCAATGAACTCTCCAATACCTGATAAACAAGTCTCAGAAATTGTTACTCCATCACAAATTCAAATTATTAATCTTCGAGCGTTACAAGGATTTTTTCCAATTATTGAGAGTGTGATTATGAATTGTGGAGTAGTTAGTGTTTATGAATTAAGAAATGAAGTTGGAAAAGAAATTAATGATGTTGGATGTCGTGGACCATTGTTTTTAGTTCAAACAAGACATAAAGAATTGTGGTTAGTTGTTATGAACCAATCATCATTTGGGACATACCATACTATTGTTTCAGAACAAACACAATTTCAACAACAAGATCGTTATTTAACATTAACTCATTCAGATAACCAATGCTTAGTTCAATTTTGTTTTATTTCACAAAGTGCAAATGAAGAATGTACTAATGTAGTTAGTAGACTTAGAACGGAATTAAGTGAGTCAGTGAGATTTGATAGATTTTTAAAACAAGCGGTGACATATTGTTCAATGTAACATCTATGAAATGAATATTTTTGTTATTTAATGGTTATAATAAGTATTTTTATTAGAAATTAAACTAAGAACTTAAAATTAATAAAATGGCTTCTATTCTTTACACACTCAATTTTGCTATTTGTGTTATTCTTATTATTACTTTAATATTATTATTAATTCCTATTCCCAATATTGTTAAAAAACAAATCCTTAATTTAAGTCATTGGATTATTAAGAAAAGAATATTTTCAATTACTTTATTAGTCATTGTTTTTATTCTTTTTGTTGATGCATTTTCTAGAATGAAACATTACGAAGGAATTAAACAATCATTAGCATTTGATGCTCCAATTAATACACGTATTTCAACATATTCAGAGTTTGTTTAATTATTTTTTTAGTTATTTAATGGAAAATAACATTTTAGATTATTTAGAAGTCAAAGAAATACTTACATTACATTTTTCAATTTATTCCTTGTTTTAGTTAATTGGAGAGTTGGAGCTATGGTTCGTAAAGTAATTAATTAAGTATTTGGACATCATGAACTTTCAGTTATCTTTTAGAAATTCTGTTATATTTCATTATTATAAAGTTAAAAAAATAAATAGGGCTTTTGTAAAATAAAAAAGAACTAATATTTTATTTTTTATGAGCACTAAACAACCATCTCAAATTATTTCAAATCAGAATATTCAAGGCAAAACTAAAAAACAACAACAACAAAAACAACAACAAACAAAAGGAAATAAAGATGAAAAACAAAAACAAGGAAAAACAAAAGAAGAAAAAAAAGAAGGTCAACAAAAAGTTGATGGTGTTCCACAATTATCTAATAAAGAATTAAAAGCTTTAAAAAAACAACAAAAACATGATAAAAAAGTAGCTAAGTTAGGAGAAAATATTCAAAAATCAAAAACAGGAGAATCTCAAATTATTCAACAGGTTGATGCAATAGAATTAATGTTAGGAACAAAAAAACAAATGCCAAATGTTGAAATTAATAGTACAATTCATCCATCATTTGCAAGATTTGCATTAGAATGTTCTGAATATAAATGTGTTGGTAGTACTATTCGAGCATTACGATTTATTGAATGTATTATTCAAACAATAAAAGCAAGTAAATTAACACAAAGTTCTGAATGTATTCCATTAATTGAAGAAAATGTTAAATTATTAGAACATGCACGAACAATTACTGTCGGAATGAATAATGTTCGTAAGTTTATTTTTATGAAGAATCAAAGTATTGAAAATATTATTGCAACAGCACAAACAATTTCATCTAATATTATTGGAAGTCAAAAAGAAATTGTATCAAGTAGTTTGTTATTTAAATAAATAGTAAATAATAAAGAAATTAATGAAATTATAGTGGTTGATTCATACAAATATGTTAATGATGGATCTGTAATATTAACAATTAATTATAGTACATTATTATTAAACATTTTTAAAACAGCATTTACTGATACAAATAAATTTAGAGTTATTGTAGTT